ATTACATCTATGTGTACTATATCTTTAAATAAATATCATTAAATAATATCGTCACCTGTGTCTTATTGTTTCATAATTTCTTAATAAACTTATAAGCATATATTTAGCATGCCTTTCAATGACAGAAAAAGAAATATTAGCAGTCGAGACATAAGCTCGCTCTATCGATTCGAATTGAAGATAAGATATATTATAACAAGATAATTAAATAAAATTATAACAAGATAATTAAATAAAATTTCTGATATTTTTGTTTTTAAATAATAGATTATAATTTAAGAATTTTTACTATAAGCCAAACGTTTCAATATTTTATCATTTCCTTTCATGGAATTATTAAAAACTTTATTCCATGTATTACATCTGCCGTCTTCAAACTATTACAGTATGTCCACCTCTTTCATCCCAGCAAAAATCTACAGAAGATATTTCGAAAAAGAAATAAAAATCTTCTGACGCAATTGTGTTCATAGTTTCTTTAGTGTTTTTTAAATAATTTTTTTATATAAGTGACAACTAATTTCTCAAACATATATGCAGAATATAAAAATTATCCTTATAAAAAGAATCGAATATTTTGAATATTATGATAAGAATTAATTGTTTTTTTCAAGATTTGCTGAATGCCATTTCAAATGACTCCTAAATTTTACTTCGCAAAAATTTTCATTTATAATACATTTCCACTTTGCAAGTTCTTGTTTTAAACATTTAGTATAGTGGTTGATGTTACTTTCGTCATACATATTTCAATAACTAAATCTAAAGTTCTGCATAAAATCAAACCTTAGCACGCCCTAAAATTTAATATTTATCCTTTTTATTATTATTCTTCTTCTTCTTCTATTATTAATAATTCATTATTATTATTTTCATTTAAGGGTCTCGGTATCGCATTGCAACTTAATGAGTCGGGGTTCGCGTTTGCTCGTCCGGCCTTATGTATTAGTCTTGAAATCGTTTACGTTAAACAACCATATTAGAAGTTTGTGATCGGTCAGAATTTTAAATTTTGTTCCATATACGTATGGTCTAAAATGTTTTACGTCTCATATGTTTATCTCATGCTCTACCGTCGCGGTGTATGTCAGTAACTCTCCTTCTAAATGAAATATATCGTTGAATTCTTCGCAGATTTTTAAGAGTGTCTGCCCCTCTTCTTTATTTAAGTGTTTTGAGTTCGCAATAGTTATCTAATACGCTGGACTCGCGGAGTGCTGGTTTTAATCTTTGTCCTTGATTTTATTGTATTTATTTCGGTTATGCTAATTTTGTCTTCCATGTCCTCTAATGTGACGATGGGGGTTGTTAACTCAATGGATTCATCGGTCATATTTATTACGCTCACAGGACATGAAAAATTTTTTGGTTCTACTAGACAGCTTCCAATATAAACTCCTGGTGTGGTTTCTTCTGTTCGGACTATCCCTATCTGATTTCGATTATTTACAGCTTTTATTATTATCTCATTACGCGGATTTAAAATTATTTTATTGCATGGATGAAATTTTAATGCTGTCTTTTATTTTTATTTCCTTAATTTCATAATCGCATTTAACTGTTTGTTTTTTAAGGAAGCCTAGTCCTAAAACTCCTTCGTGTTCTATGGCGATATCGTCTTTTACGTAAAATGCATGTTTAATTTTGTGTTTATTAATTTTTATCGTAGCGTACATTTTGCCTAATGTATATATTTTATGTTCGCTTATTCCTATAAGTGCTATCTTCTTCTCATATATGAATGTGTCGTCCTTTAAATGTCTTAATTTTATTAAGCAAATTGTTGATTCAAAATCGTATATCACGTTTATATTTTCTCCTTTTACTTCGCGAATTGATAATGTAACTTGTAGTAATTCGTCCTTCGATGGTGCATGCATAGTTTTAACATGCGTTACGCGATACTCTAGGGCAGGTCGCGATTGTTTTTTCGTTTTTTCTTCCTGCTCCTCTTCGCTATTGCTTGTAGAGTTGGCGCTCTTTTTCCGCTGTCGATGCGAAGTCTTTTGTTCACGCATATTATCTTTATAATTATTTCTATTAATTTGTTTATTATTTTTAATATTAATTTTGGGTCGTCCATTTAAATTCCAGCATACATCGCGGCTGCCTCCTTTTTATATTATTCGAAAAATTTATTTACAATATTTATTTGCGTAGATTTTTCCGGTTTTGGTAGTGTATATTTATTATTGCTAACGGCAATCGCGTCCGTAGTGTCCAGATTTTCCGCATTTATAACATTGCACTGAGAAAAATCGTTTGATTGTACCAACAAGACGTATATGATTGAAGGCATTTTGGTCAAACAAGAATTTCTAGTTATTATGATAAAACTCGATTTTTTTATAACTAGAAAGTTTAATAGATTTTACTATAAGGATTTTTTTAGTATTTTCTGGTTGGATCTATAAAATTACTTGTTACATTAATTTCTTTGCTTGCCACTAGCTTAACTTAACTCGTATTCAATTTTGCCATGAAATGTATATAAAGAACTAATATTAACATTAAATCCAGAGTATATTTTTTTTCTCTTACGAGCAGTAGTGCCAGAAAGAGCACGCTAGCTCTCTGATTGCATGTGTTAGAGCTACATCCCCTTCCTGCATCACTGATTATCAGTTTAATTTCTAACAAACTGAATTTAGAATAATTTATTCAATAATCTAGATTGAATTTATTCAATAATCTTGTTGGAATTCAGAATATTAAACAGATTTTTGAGATTAGATGGAAAAAATTTTAGACAACTTGGTGCTTGCGAGTTTACTATTAACCAGAAAATTTAATAAATTTAACAAGAAGAAATTAATCAGATTTATCTGATATTTCCTACAAAAATTCTGGTTCGTCCATTTTCCAACAGACATACTGGTTGAATCTACCATAATTCTAATTAATGCAACCAGACTTTTTTGTCAGTATTTATGTTTGTATCTCGAATTGATTGCGTATGTTTAGCGTCGAATTTATTTTTATTAGGGAAGTCGGGTGCTTGTGTGACAGACGGTCCGATAAACTTCTCTTTCGCGCTCGCGTTATTTATCGCTTCTTGGAGCGTAGCATATCGTTGTGATCGCACGAGAATTTTTAATTCATCGCGTAATTCGATTTGAAAGTTTATTAGAGCTTGTTTCTTAAATTGTTTTTTGTATCACTTGTTTGAATAAAGGAGGTCGTTCTTCTCCTCCCACCATAGATTCATATAGTTTCATATAGTTTCATATAGTTTCATATAGTAGCTAGTGTATCGACACGTTGCCCGAATGCATGTGCGGTTTGACTTGATTTTTGTTTTAGCCAGTTAAACTCTATTTGCAAATGAATTGTGCTTTGTTTTGCTTGATAGCACGTTTCAAGTTGTTGTTTTAAATCTTCGAACGTTTGTATATTTCGCGTTCTCGAAATCTTGCATGGCTTTATCTTTTAATTTAGTATATAAAATTGCTAAAAAATGAAGTTAAATAATGTTGTAGTCTTTCGGACTATAACATATATTTTGATTATATTTCATTTAGAGATGTTATTAACTTCAAATATTTTTTAAATAATTCCAAAAAAAATTATATTTAATTATATATAAATTATTAATTATTTTTCTATAATATCTGTTTTATAATTTTCTGTAATATCTGTGTAATATCTTACTATGTAAGAACTATAACAAATGTAAATTATCTACCATTATCGTATCAATATATCTTATCAGTATCATATTACACAAAATATTACAGCAATATAATTATTATTCTTGTAATAATGCAACAACATTGGAATATTGTCGCAATATTGCTGCAATGTTCTGTGCTGTATGGAATATTATCTTATCAAGCTATTATCTTATCAATGTGTCAAACTTACATCATTATTATTATTAATTTTAAGGTTCAAGATTTGCTTATATGCAAGGTTGAACTTGTAAGTCTTCTGTCAAAATTCAAATTCAAACTTGATCCGGGAATTACGATCCGGTTAACTTACGATTCGAATAGCCTTACCCTTACTCCCAAAAGAAGTATGTATCTTACTATAAAGCCGCGATAAAAAAAATAATAAATAAGCATTTTGGATATATTTAAATTTACTTATCCAAAAATATTATATATATATATGCAACAACATTTTCAAATAACAAAAATTTATAATAGTGTATTATATATGTTTCTTCGCTTGCCGCTAGGCGACGACAAATTCAACTAACTCGTATTTAAATTTTCATCATAAAATGGGTAAAAAGAAAGTCTTCAAAGGATTGATAAAGAACTAACATAAGATTTAAAGTATATCTGTTTTCTTTTATTTAATTTTTGATGAAACTGACTTGATTTAAAGTAATTTGTTTAATGATCTGGATCCCTTATTGGAATTCGGAATATTAAATAGATTATTTCAAACTAGACGTGTAAATAGTCCATTTAGTGCGTGTATTAAAGTATTTTTATTGCCGAGTGTATGTAAGATCGAGAGTCGTATATAAATTATCGAGATAAATAAGAAAAATTTAATAAAAAACTGTTTCATAAACAGATTAATAAATTATCCCTTTCTTTATCCGTTATAAATATTAACATTTACCTTACTGCCAAATAAAATATGTTGGGTATATTGCGCCCTTCATCCGGTGAGCGTGAATCATACATGACTGCATCGACTGCATCACCCGAATCGGAATGCAACTCAGAACAATAGAATCACGACGTGGCACGATGATGCACATGACACGACCTTGCATACGGCACCACAGTAAGAAGAAGCTTTAAAATGCCGACCGAGAAACGGATCGTCGGAGAAGCATAGGTGTGACCGACGTGTACGGAGCTCAACGTAGTGCTCGAATCTTCTACTACTTCGGACTGTTCGTGGAATCGAGACATAGTATCAAGACACAACGACGTTAAACATTATTCGTGAACTAACGAACAAACACAACAATTTGCACTCCGAAACACAACAAAATCACAACAATTGGCGCTGCGGCTTATTGAACCTGCATGAAAATGGACCGACTACTTCAAGCGCTAGCAGAAACTGCGCTAAGCCAGGAGCAGACATTACGTCAGATCGGTGAGTCACAAAAGAAAATGACGGAGATACTATCACATCGAATATCGGGAACAGACGATACTGCAAAGTCGTCGCAATTCGCAAATCTGGCTACACGGCTCGGTAAATTCGTTCATGACCCTGCAAGGGGTAAAACTTTCACGTTATGGTTTGAACGACATAGAAGCACTTTCGCGGAAGGAGCGAAGGGTTTAACCGATACGGAGGGAAAAGAGCTACTTCTTAATGCTCTCGGGGATGACGAGTATCAACAATTACTCAGTCGTTTATCGCCGAACAAACCGCAAGAGATGTCTCTTGCAGATCTCGTGCAACATCTTCGAAAACAATTCCATGACAATAAAAAGCTATTTCAACGTCGTTTTGAAGTTCTCAATTTTCGTGCTTCCCCGCCAGCAACGGCTATAGAAATACTTGACAAAGTAAATGTTCTGGAAGATGCCTTTGAACTCGATAATTTCAATATCGACCAGCTCAAAATTCTACTAACGGCTCTCGCCCTAAGCGACCACACCTACTACACGGAGCGAACAGTCCTCCTCAAGGTTGCATCAGAAAAAGAAAACTGCACATTTCAAGATATTAGAGAAATCTGCTACGTACATGCGAATCGCACGGCTGACGTCATGCGCGTTGAAGGATAGCGCTTCTCCGAAATCAACGCGGTCAGCCAATCTACGAAGAATTCACCTAAAAAGAAAGGTAAATATTACGAAAAGAAAACAAATCCTACTACACTACATTACGAGAAAAAGAGAAATTCTACTACATTATCGCCATGCTATGGCTGCGGTTCCACGAAACACAAACGGGATGCATGTCCGTTTAAGAATGCAGCATGCAGAATCTGCAAGAAAACGGGACACATTGCTAGAGTTTGCTTATCGAAGCAACGAAATAAAATAAATACTGTCACATTACAAGGTGTTCTAGGCACAGGACATCGGTATCGCAAATTCGCGCATATTACTATTAATAACAAGCCATTGAAAATGCAGCTGGATACAGGAGCGGATGTCACTACGATCGGGAGAGAAACTTAGACACGAATCGGTAGTCCAAAACTACAACCTCTTATTACTTCATGTATGAATGTTTCAGGACATCCAATGCATACCATAGGATTGTTTAACGTCTCACTTGGCTACAAAGACTGTATAATAAAAGCACAAGTCATCGTACTTGATCGTCCAGAAACTGCACTACTTAGCTCTCAAGCAATAGATGAGCTTGGCTTAATTACCTACGATACAGGAGTCGTCGGAAATCTGCAAACGATGAATACGATTACGGTAAATTCATTTCATAAACAATTCACAGAACTTTTTAGTAGTTCCACAGGAGAATGTACCAAGATGACAGTTCATTTACGGCTTAAACCAGATGCGAAACCGAAACATATTCCACGACGTCCGATCACACTTGCATTGGAAGAACCAGTCAATGAACTGGATAGACTCGTTAAAAATGGAATTTTAACGCCAATCGACTTTTCGGAATGGGCGGCGCCCATAGTAGTTGCACGCAAAGCAAATGGGAAAATACGTATTTGTGCAGACTACTCTACAGGATTAAATGACGCACTTGACGCGGAGGATTATCCAATCCCAGGGATAGAGGAACTTATGGCAAAACTTCAGAGGAAGTTCTATCTTCTCACAACTAGATTTATCTGATGCTTACTTCCATCTAAGACTGGATGAGGAAAGAGGCTAACTACAATAAATACTCATCGAGGTTTATTTGCTTACAATCGGTTGGTTTTTGGGTTAAAACCAGCTCCTGCAATTTTCCAACGTACGCTGGAACAGGCACTTACAGATATTCTAGGCGTACTTGTCTATCTTGATGATATTCTGATTTATGGTCAGGAACGCACAGAGCACGATACGCGTTTACACGCCGTGCTAAACCGCTTGCAAGAATGGGGTTTTCGACTCCAAAAGGAAAAATGTAAATTTCATACTTCAATAGTTAAATACCTTGGATTTATTGTTTCAGCTAAAGGTATTGAGCCTGACTCAGCACGTCTTCGACCTATTCAAACAATGCGAGCTCCGACGAATACAAAAGAGATATACTCGTTTTTAGGTCTGATTAATTACTACGGGAAATTTGCACCAAATTTGCATCGACTCAAAGCATCATTCGAAGCTTTGATCAAGAAAGATATATCCTTCGTGTGGATAGCAAAAATGAAGAAAACGTTTGAGGATATTAAAAATATTCTTACTGGACCACTTCTACTAGCGCATTACGATCCCAGACAAACTCTGATCGTTGCAGCAGACGCTAGTTCGATCGGAATTGGTGGCGTCTTGTTACAGCGCGCCCCAGATGGCCAGGTAAAAGCAGTTTTTCAGATCTGTCAAAAGCAGTGACAAAGACTCAACAGAATTACAGTCAAATCGAAAAAGAAGCTTTAGCATTAGTCACTGCTGTTGAACGTTTTCGAAAATTCGTATATGGTCGTCACTTTGTGCTACAAACGGACCATCGTCCATTTCTGTTTAAAACGTCGAATACAAAAGGTTTAGATACACGTACAGCAAATCGTTTGAAACGATGGGCTCTTCGACTAATCGGGTACGACTTTGACATAGAATATGTCAACTCCGAAAAATTTGGTCAAATAGACGCTCTTTCAAGGTTAATACAGTTTGTAAAACAAGACGTAATAGACGCCAACCTCAAAGAAGTTGTAGCTGAGCTACAAGAAACAGATACAGAGCTACAACAGATTGTCAACGAATCAGTACAGTTTTTACCTTCAACGGCTCGACAAGAGCTCCAAAGTGCAACATTCAGCGATGGAATTCTCGCTGAAGTTATAGATCGTCTACAAAACGGATGGCTTAAATCGGACGTAACTGACAAGGAGTTAATGTCATATTATCGTCGTCGCGATTACTTAGCCATAGTTGATAATACATTAGTTCTAGATGAGAAACTAATAATTCCTAAACATCTACAATCTACTGTACTGAAATAACTACACATTGCACATCCAGGTATCCGCCGGATGATACAGCTTGCTCGACATTATTTCTATTGGCCGGCGATGCATGATGACATCGAGAGATACGTAAAAGAATGTAATCATTGCGATCGCACAGCAAGCAACCCAGTAAAAGAACTATTACATCCATGGCCAAATCCAGAGAAATCATGGTCACGCCTTCACATTGATTTCGCAGGCTCGATACATGGACAATGGGTACTCGTCATTGTCGACAGCTACTCCAAATTCGTAGAAGCAAGATGGTTCTCAACAATAACATCGGCAGCAACATGTCGATATCTGCGAAGACTCTTTAGTCAATATAGATCTCCTGAAGTACTAGTTTTAGATAACGATACTTAATTCACTTCAGTAGAATTTGCGCAATTGTGAGCCGAATTTCGAATTCTTTACCTGCGTATCCCTCCTGGGCATCCACAATCAAATGGTCAAGCCGAGAGAATGGTCAGAACATTGAAAAGTTCTATCGACACAAGTCAAAGTTCACAGTTAGAAACGGAATTAAACAAGTTTGTTTACGAATACAACTACACACCCAGTAATGCGGTATCATAAGTCTCCGGCAAAAATATTCTTTGGACGTAAGCTTAGAACTCCATTAGATATTTTTACTGCAACCGAAAAACCTAATCTAAATCTTACTTCTCAGCAGAAACAAATGAAACAGCAATTCGATGCTCATCACGGCGCAAGGCCACGTTCATTTGTTATAGGTCAATCGGTACTAATTCAACTCTCCAATGGACAGCGTATTCCTGGTAAAATTGTTAGGCTAATAAGGAAAGCACTCGCTCGCGTCAGCTTTGAAGGAGGATTCATTACTAGACATTTCAATCAAATATGGAATCGTCCAAAGAGACAGGAAAAGAAATCCAATATGATTAGCGAAGATCTACTACCCTCCGGAAAAGAATCAGCATGGATTCAACTAGATCCAATACTTCACACTTCGCTAGGAGAAAGAGAGGAGGCAGAACCTTTCAACAACGGGACCACACAACTTCCAGTAGCATCTGCTCGTCGTTCTGAAAATCCCTCCGGGGCCACACAACTTCCAGTAGCAGCGGCTCGTTGTTCTGAGCGTCTTTCGCATCAAATTCGACCAGATTACAAGGCATTGGGAGGAACTCGCCCCTATCGAGGACAGCATTCTTAAGCAAGGGAAGAATGTTGGGTATATTGCGCCCTTTATTCGGTGAATCATACATGAATCATACGTGAATCATACATGACTGCATCGACTGCATTATCCGGATCGGAATGCAACTCAGAACAATAGAATCACGACGTGGCACGATGATACACATGACACGACCTTGCATACGGCACCACAGTAAGAAGAAGCTTTAAAAGGCCGACCGAGAGACGGATCGTCGGAGAAGTATAGGTGTGACCGACGTGTACGGAGCTCAACGTAGTGCTCGAATCTTCTACTACTTCGGACTGTTCGCGGAATCGAGATATCAAGACACAACGACGTTAAACATTATTCGTGAACTAACGGACAAACACAACAATTTGCACTCCGAAACACAACAAATACACAACAAAATATATTTGGTGTAAACATATTTTAATAGTTATTTTAACATTTTTGTTTTCTTATATTATGAAATATGTTAAAAAGTCATATAAAAATTTCATATTTTATATATCATTATTATTTTATTTGCAGCTATTATTTTTTATCTCAATTTATTTTATTCATCATTGATTGGCAACTTTTAAATAATTTGAAAGCAATTAAGCATATGACTTCTGATTTTCTTTATACCGAAATGAGAAATTCATTGTTACTGTATGTCCGTAACAATTAGTCTACTGCTTTTCCAATAAAAGATTCTAAATAACAAATTCTATCTAATTAAACAAATTATTTAAAATTGAGAGGATAGATAGGAAACTGTTACATTTATTATTTAAAGCGAAATGTCAAAATTTAATGTTTTTATAAATTAAATTTCGAATTTTAGGCATTGAATATGATTTTCTTATTACTTGCTTTAGTATATTTAGTCTCATTATTAATATCATATTCCTGAAAGTGCTAGGGAACAAAAAACGAAAATGCTCCATACAGTAAAAATTTATTCCTATAGCTTACAATCTTACATTTCTGGAGAGATTTCGTAACTTATATAATGAAATTTATTGACAAATTCAAATGTTTTCCCACATTTCTGTTTAAGAATATAAGTAATGCAGCTATGTTTGTGCAGAAAACATGAAAAGATAGAATTCTATTTATCATTCATAAATTTGATTTAACATCTATATTGGCATTTATGCCACCCAAATTTTAAACATTAATGTCTATATGTTATTAATAATGAGCTCTCTTGTATGCGATACGATTATTTCAATCTCTTTATTATTTTTGTTCTTCATTGTTTCAATGCAGTGCAATGACTTCGAAAATGTAATAGCGTTTGTGAAAAATATATAACGGGTGAGGACTTCGATATACTGGATGTATGTTAAAAAGTTCCCACTAAGCAAATAGCGTTATTCCTGATTAAAAACCGAGTCGAAAAGTCCTGAACCATTTTTTTCCATAATGCTTAATAAAGCAGTAATTAATAAGTAAAGTCGCGCCAATAAAAAGACAAACTTCCTCGTTATCAACATATTTGAAGATTTGGATAAGCAAAAAAATAAACTGTTTTGTATTAATTTTTAGACAATTCATCTTTTCAGAAATCTTTTTAATACTTATATCTGATTAATTATTTAATGAATCTTGGAAAAAATTGGTTCAGGACTTTTCGACTCGGTTTTTAATCAGGAATAACGCTATTTGCTTAGTGGGAGTTTCTTAAGATACACTCTGTATATCGAAGTCCTTGCCCATTATATATTTTTCACAAACGCTATTACATTTTTCAAGTCATTGCACTGCATTGAAACACAATGAAAAACAAAAGTAATTTGCAATTAACAATTCCATATTTTTTTTTCTTAAAAGTATGTAATCTATGTATTTTCTTTACACCAATTGATTCCTCTCATTATTTTGCACATAAAAGTATAAAGGTAAGATAATCGAAAAATGAATAATTTAAAAGATATTTTAAGATTTATGTAAAATTAAGAAATGATTTCAAGCCTCATAACTCGAATAGTACTTCATAGAAAAATAATTTATTATAGTGTTTTGGAAAGCTCTCGAGATAAGTTATAAGAATATGCAATGAAAAATAGGGGATAACCCCCTATTTTTCTGTTTAAAAAAATGCACTTCCGGTCTGAATCGCCTATTTCCGGCCAGAAGATGAAAATATCACCATTCGATAGAGCGCACCCGATTTATAAAAAAAATGTTTTTACTTTTTTGAAATAACCACTTCTCTAGTTTTTAAATGGGTGGTACGGGTGGTCTGAAACACCCTGTATATATGTATATATATATATATATATATATACAGGGTGCCACTTAATTGGCGCCCACTATTTATATAGCGATATTCCTCATGGAAAACTCCTGTCGAAAAGTCTTAAACCATTTTTTCTATAATGAAAAAAATTGTAAATTTTAAATTTTAATTCATAGTTCTTCAACTTTAGCTAATATTCACATCGGTCACTTTATATGAATCACCCTCTATATATATATATATATATATATATATATATATATATAGTATATATATATACACAAGGTATTTCATAAGTGATGGGCAAAATTTCAGGAATAAATTCCTTATACTTAGAGAAGAAAAAAAGTTAATCAATACAGGTCCGGAAATGATTAGCTTTGAGTTATTAAGATTTTGAACAATTAGAGGAAATGTTCAATATGTCCATCTCCTATCACAATACAAGTCTCAACGCATTGAATCCCGAACACGCCCGAACTTGAAAGACATTGTTGATGTCTGTAAAAGGACTTCTAAGACGAGAAATGAAACAAAATTTTGTATTACAAAAATTTTAATAACTCAAGAACTAATAATTTCTGGATCTATGTTGATTAACTTTTTTTCTTCTCTAAGCATGAGAAATCAATTCCTAAAATTTTGCTCACTTATAAAACACCCTGTATGTGTGTGTGCGTGCGTGCGTGTGTGTGTATATGTGTAAAGTACTTTTCTTGTGATAACATAATAATAATTTAAAAACACATGTATAAAAAATATGTAAAAACGAATATATAAAAAGAACAATAAACAAAAAAGAAAAATTAAAAAATAATAATTTTTCTGCAGACATTTAAATAATTAAATAATAAATATTACTTATAAGCTTCTCTAGTATATATCTTTAGTTGTTACCAATTTTGCTGATATTTAGTAAGCAACGAATAATTACAATAAAAAATTAAGAAATTTTTTCATTTTTAGTTTTAAGGCACATGAAATTTTCAAGTCCAGAGGGATTGAAATTTTTTCTATTACGGCGTTTTGATTACAGTTCCGTTTGCACCCCGAAGAGTTCTCTCGATAAGAATTAAGACCCGAAGCCGTAGAGTGAAAAAGTTCTGGCCACTTTTAGTTACTCGCTCTTAAAATTTTAAAGTCCTGGGGAGTTGGAATTTTTTTCCGAATTTCGGCGTTCTAATTATAGTTCCGTTTGCACCCAGAAGAGTTTTCTCGATAAGAATTAAGGTTCGAGGCCGTAGAGTGAATGACGTAAAAGTATTTTAAAATATTTAGCGGTCGGAACTATTGTTAAAACCTATCTATTAAAACCTAACTATTTCTAAAACCCATCAGGAACTATAGAACTATTTGGGGTACAAATAGAACTCCTAATAAATCTTTCGATTTTTGAATGTGAGATGCTAACTTCACACCGGCGATTATTCTATTAATTTTCTCTCTCTTTTTCTCACTCTCTTGATGCATTATGTCATCGCATTCCATTGCTTTGTCGAGATGGAAATTGCCACACGTGTGAAAAGTGCATGGCTTGTTTTCGTTTTCTTTTATTTGCTGATGCTAGCATAAACCTCGCGCGTGTACATAAATACCATGATCCGCAATCTCTTGCTCCTTTTTGATCTATCGTTTGTTAAAGAGGAACATTTCAATGTGCGAATTGAGGGAGCTTAAATCCGAAAGACCTTGCATAACGAAGGAAGGAATTTAATAACTTACAAATACCTTTCGATCTCTATTTCCTCAGGCAGTACTTGGCAACACCTTTCTTCCGTTTCTCCGCACGTGCCACTCACAACACGTGTCAACTAAAGACGTGAAAATCCTCCATCTCGCTCCTGCATATGTAACCTTCGCAAAACAAATACTCTTCCTCGCGATACATAAATAATGCTCTTACAGATAAAAAACGATTTTAATTCTTGAAAAAAGACCAGTAATTTTAATGGCAGTGTTATTTAATGTAACAGCTGTTTTGCATTATGCACATTCACTGGGATTAATTAATTATTATGATAATTTTGCGAGATATTTTTGCAAAAAATTTCGATATGCAGAGAGTTTAATTTTTATAAATTATGTATTAAATCTATAAATTTACATAATATAAATTATAGTCATATTTTACGAAGGTTATATGTATACATCAATTATCATTTTTTTACATAATAATTTTCTTTGACAGAGATTGAGTTATTTTTTATCTAAATTTATTTTCTCTAATTATAATTTCGAACTCTCTTTTAAATGAAAACATCGATTGTACGTAAATTCTCTAGAAATTCGCGTTACGCTAGCACGTGCGTATTCTGTATTGAAGCCACATATATATCCATTTTCATTAGTCTTCTCCTTTGTTAACATGCATATTATGTATCGCAAACTTGCGACATAATGTGTTAGAAAACGCACAGAATTTACGGCACGTGACGTTTTTCCTCACGCGTAGCAATTGGTCACGTTTTCCCTTAAGGTTCAGTTGATGCGATCGCGTTAAATGTAATGAGAAAGCCACTGTAAAGTCATAAAAGAACTATGTATTGTTAAAATTTAGAGAAAGAGATAACGCCTTTACTTAATTTACTTTAGGCAATACATACACACAAACACTTACGTGTATATATATATATATATATATATATATATATATATATTTTTTTTTTTAATTTAATTATAGATGTATATAATGCAAAAAAAATGTCCAATCCAAAACTATTATCTAAAAAATATAAAATAAATTTTAACACTCATCGATTGATGCGCAGATTCAGAGTGGTCT